TTTTATATCCTATGGACGAACAATAATCCCTCCAAGTTTTCTTTTTTGCTTTCTTAATGGTCCTACGAGCTACTGCCCTTTTCTTTTTAAAATCTATAAGGTGTTCTTCAGTCATATTTTTCTGTAATGGTTTTAGAGCCTTGTTTCTTTCTTTAATTACTTTACTACATTCATCGTTCCACCATGGAACCACTTTTGAGTTTCTTTTTATTACTACTTTTGGAATGCTTGAGTTTGCTTCATTTAAAATGAGTTCTGTTTCCTGGTTATTGCATTCATCAATGTTTCCTTTAAGATTTACTAAATGACTATTTTTCTCACAATTAATTTTAAAAGTTTCCCAGTTAGCTTTCTTAAAGCACCATCTGGTTGTGATTATTTCCTCTTTATTGGTTATACTGTCATTTATAATTGTGCTAACAAGAAAGTGGTCACTCCCCAGTGTAGTATCTCCATTTACACTCCATTCACAGGATTTTGCAAGTTTATCTGATACTAAAGTTAAATCTAAACATGACACTGAACCTTTATTTATATTAAATCGTGTGTCATGACCATCATTAATACAAACCAGTGATCTTTCATCCATCATTTCTTCAATAATGTTGCCGTTATTGTCTGTTTTGCTGCTTCCCCATAGACTATTGTGAGCATTAAAGTCTCCACACCAGATTTCTCTCCCGTTTATACCTCCACATATTTCCATAAATACATCATTATCTAGGTTTTTACATGGGTTATAAAAATTAATTATCTTAATATGTCCAATTATTTTTAAGTTGTAAATTTCAATGCTAACACATTCATACTCTGTTGAGTTATAAATTTCTTTATATGCTATTCCATCCTTAATGAATGTTGCACACCCTCCTCCACTACTTCCAGTACTTCTGTCTTTCCTTGTTGTACTGTATCCATGAATTTTAAAGTCTAAATGGGGCTTTATTCATGTTTCCTGGCCACATATTACTTTGTATTTCTAACTGGTATATGTATTTTTAAAGTTCTTGTCCATTAGCTATCAAACTCCTAGCATTCCATTGTAGAATATGAAAAACCATTCCTAATCCTTTCCTTGACCTTTTCCTGTTGGTTCAACTGGTTTTAATAGAGTGTGGATCTGATCTGCTTGGATTTCTTTCATATCCAGAAACTTTCCTGCTGCTTCCACTATTTTTATTTTATCACATTGTCATTTGTATTGTTACATTAACAATATGACATATGAATGCCACAAACTTGTCCTTTTCCACTATCATCGATTTTTCATTGAGTTTACATTTGTGATTACACGTGGCATGTTCTGCTGCTGGTGGTATCAGTGATTGCCTCTGGTTCCTCTGAATATCATTTACACTTTGCACCTGTCTCTGGATAGTTTCTTCATTCCTCACTACTTTTGTATTTACTTTCTTCACCCTCTTCAGTGCTCCAGCATATGAAACTCTCTCTGTAATTTTAATTCTTTGGGCTTCTCTGGTTTCCCTCTGAACTACACACCCTCCATATGCTGCACTGTGTTCTCCTCCACAGTTGCAGCATTTTACCTTCGAGTCTTTCTCACACTTCCCATACTCATGAGGACCTCCACATCTTGCACATCTCACTTTCCCTTTACACTCCTTTGCTATGCGCCCCATTCTTTGACATATGAAACATCTGATAGGGTTTGGTATGTATTCTCTAACTCTATAATTTACATATCCCATCTGCACACATTCTGGCATCGTGTTCTCAGACTTTAGAGTAATAGACATTGTTTCTTTGATTATTCCATCTTTTTTACTTGTAATCCTTTTTGCTTCTGTCACTTTGCCTCCCCTGATTTCTTGTTTTATTTCCTCGAGTGTCATTTCTATTGGAACTCCTGAAATTACTCCTCTTAACCTGTTTATAGAGCCTGGAATAAATACTTTAACTCTTTCTCCCACTAGAGTAGTCATTTTTAAGATTTTGTCCTGCTGTTGTTTGTTGATTGCATGTATAAGAATTCTTTTGTTGTTCATGAGTCTGGATAATTTTATTTTCCCAATTTCCTCCTCTATTGCCTTTGATAGTTTTATTGGATGAAAGTATCTTCCCTCTTGATTAAACTCCACCATTACTTTCCATTCCTCTTCCCTAATTAGTTCCACCTGCGTTTGATTTTGCGGACTTGTACTGATTTTTGACTTTTTATTTATGTCTATTCGTGACTCACTTTCTTCTAACAAGCTTCTCTCTCTCTCGTGTCTTTTTCTTTGTGGTTTTTTCATTTTTGATGATTTTGCCATCATCCATTCCATCTCATTCTCACTATTTCCCCCTGAAGAGGAGGCCATGATGTTACAGTCAGAGCTCAGTTTATGCACCCGACCAAATTTCAGCTCCTACCGCCCTTGAAAAGATTGTCCAGCTCCCAAGTCAGCTTCTCCTTCCACGCCAAAACCTGTCAATCTCAGAAATCCACGTCGGGAGAACCTTGCTCATATTCTTCTTCTTGTGGTGAGTCTTCCCCGTATTGAACCGAACTGAGACAAATGAACCAAACTGAAGCAATTCAATGACACCTGGGGAAACCTGTGCAGGTGCTTTGAGTTTAGTAGATGATTAGTGTCACACTCGGTTTAAAACATTCATGCCCTGAAACATTTGGGCTGATTCTTTACAAGGAAAAAAATTGGAGATGATATTAAACTAAAGTTATATAACCAAGAACTAGAAAAAGTGAAGCAGTTTAAATTTCTTGGGGTCTGGTTTGATGAGAGGATTACATGGAATATACACGTACAGAAAGTGTTAGATAAATGCAAGAAGGTGTTAAATATCATGAGGTGTTTAACTGGAAGTGACTGGGGGGCAGATAGGAAAGCCCTTAAGGATATATACACAGGATTAATTCGATCAGTACTAGACTATGGAAGCATTGTTTATAATTCAGCAGCAGATACAACTTTACAAAAATTAGACCGTATTCAATATCAAGCATTGAGACTGTGTACAGGCGCAATGAGAACTACCCCGCAACAACATCACTACTGGTAGAAATGGGAGAAATACCACTCAAAATTAGAAGAGAACAACTAACTCTAAATTACTGGGCTAATCTGAGAGGTCACGGGCAGGATCATCCAACACAAGAGACAGTTAAACCTTGCTGGGAAAAAGAAGTAAAAGATATCAGAAGTTTTGGTTGGATTGTGAATCAGAAAATGACAGAACTCAAAATAGATCAGATCAATATAAGTCAAACAACTCCATTACCAGTAATACCACCTTGGATACTTCCAGATGCCATGATAGATTTTACATTATTGGAAAAAGAAATGAGAATAATGGGTTCATTTTAAATTCAAATACGGTACAGAACCATATTGATACATATTACAGCTATGTTCAAATTTACACAGATGCTTCCAAGAACTTAGTAAATAAAGTCGGTGTAGCCTTCATTGTTCCAGAGTTCAACATCAAAGTTAGGAAAAGAAGTAACGATGGACTTTCAGTGTACACAGGGGAAATGCTCGCAATATTATTAGCCATTCAGTGGGTTGAAGAAACAAGACCATTGAGATCGGTGATTTGTTCAGACTCCAGTTCATCATTAGTCAGTTACCAGTGTAACCATTCAGAAAGCAGGCCAGATATTTTAATAGAAATTCAACAAACACTATACAGAATAAATATGATGGGTCTAATGATACATGTTTTATGGATACCAGCTCATTATGGTGTTACAGGAAATGAAATGGCAGATAAAGCTGCAAAGGAAGCCACTAGAAATAATTCGGTGAATTTAGAAGTTAATTTTAGTAAATCAGAAATAAAACTTTTAATAAAACGGAAAATGAAGGATAAATGGCAAAAGATATGGGAGGAAGAAAAGAAAGGACGCTGGTTCTATAAAATCCAAAAGAAAACTGGAGAAATGAGAAGTACAGGGAGGACGAGGAGAGAAGAGACAATTATTTCTCGTCTCAGATTTGGGCATACTGGCTTAAACCGCCCTCTTTTTATTTTAGGGAAACACTGCACTGGTAAATGTGAGTACTGTGGAGCAGATGAGACAGTACAGCATGTAATGTTACACTGCAAAACGTATGAGGAAGAAAGACGACATTTGATTCAAAATTTAAATAAAATTAAAGTAAAACTAGAATTAATTGATTTATTCAGAAATAACTCTAATAGTAAAATTTATCAGATAATCTTTCATTATCTTAAATCAACACAGTTATTTAAGAGGATTTAATCCTTGAGTGACATTTTGGTCCACACTCCTCACCAGTCGGTGGCGGTAATGCACCAATTTCGTTGTTTGCCAACCGCCAATAAACCTCGAAGAAGAAGAAGAAGAAGAAGAAGAAGAAGAAGAAGAAGAAGAAGACATTTGGGCTGATTTCTCCACAGTATTCAAATTTTTTGAATTCCTGTTTTTGTGTGTTTCATGAGCTGGAAGCCCAACATATGTAAAAATAAACAAAGAAATACTTGAACTTTTTTAAATTGTGGGCCCTGAATCTATCATCTATTAAAGGTTAACTTTTTGAATGGAATTATGGAAGTTAAACAACTTTTCCATGATATTCTAATTTTTTCGAAAGAGTGTACAGGTAAATATTCACAAATATATTTACTTAAGCATATTTATATATATAAATGGTAAATGGACTGTACTTGTGGCTCCTTTCTGTTTAGTGAAGATAGCAAAGCTCTTTACAACACAACCTGTGCCTTCATTTACCTCCACACAGCACGTGATCAAACAGGTGTCTAAGCTCATGTTCAGTCATAAAATATTCAAATAAAAACTGATGCGAACTAAAGCATGGAGCTCTTGTATCGATACTATCGATCTCCCACTCGATCCGCCCGCCCCTTCCAGAACCCAGGGGTCGCGGTGGAGCGCGCGCGGGTCCGTGCTGTACTTTCCGTGTTTGTCTTCTGGAGGATGTGGACTCTTCCAGGTCCGAGTCGCAGCGGCTTGTAGGAAACTTCTCGTTTTGCGCTTGTTCCTTCTCGTTGTTGAGCCGTCGGTAAGAAACGACTCGTATTCACAGCGCGAGAGGAGCACGAGGACACTTTGAACCACCGCTGACCGGAACTTTGTCCAACTGTGTCCCAGCTGATGTTTGGGACCAGGCGGCAGCAGCGTCTGGATCAAGGTGCGGGTTTAGACACAGCTTCCTGGACAACCTGTGTTACATTTAGACAAGACAAATGTCCAACATTGATCTTTGGTGCTTTTTGTCTCGTTTTGTCCTGTCACGGGTCCAGGACTGGACCCGCATCAATACGAAGCGGGACTAATTAAATTCAAACAAATTAAACCAACAGGTAGGCCTACACAACTTTCTGGATTCTAATTTGATTTGAAGTAATAAATCTCCCAACTTTTTCTAAATTAAAGTAAAAAGGAGGTAAAATAATCAAATGTAGACGTGGTGCCTACACATAGACCTGTATGTTCACCCCATTGGCTCTGAAGCCCAGTACCTCCAGAACAGAAGAGCCAGAATCACTTGAGTTGGGTCTCCTGTGGGTGAAATGGGTCCGCTGTGTTGGACAGAATGTCTCCTCTGTCTTCAGTTCCTGTGTCCTGTTCGTGTCCAGTCTGTTCAGTCTCAGCTACTACCACAGCAAATGGAAGCTCAGTGTCTGTAAAACTGATTGAATTGTTTTATACAGAGTTCTTCTCCTGATGCAACCTGGATTTGAACCTTTAGCCTCAAAACTATGGGTCTGCAGCACTGACCGCTGATCCACCGCAGCCTGTGCCTGTCTTCATCCTGTGAATGCATTAGTTCTGTTGTTAACAAAAATAATCAGCTTAAACTGTCCACCCATTCTCTTTACCTGCTAAATAATGACTTTAGAAATATTTTTGAAACATGGGTTGCCCTCTCCTTTTTGATAGCTGAGGAAAGAAGCACGTCTGTCAAAGTATTCTGAGCTGGACCGTTTGATGAAACTTTGAGGAAGTTTTCACTGGATGTCCGATTTTTTGTAGACAACCCAATGCAAGATGGCTTCCACAGCTAATCGACCTTTTCAAACATGATCATGTCAGTTTTACAGAAAGTGAGTTGAAGTTTGGTGTAGTAGTAGCTGAGGGTCATTCACAATACAGTCTCTGAGCTCTAACGTGTCGCACGTCGTCTCTGGATGTCCTGCACGTTGTTTTCAAGATTTGAAACTATAGATCCTACATAAAAAGGATCTATAGTTTCATGAAATAGTGCATTTCTTGTGCCGAGCCCGAGTAAATGACGAGGGTTGTGCGTCAGGAAGGACATCGGACTTGAAACACTTTTGCCAAAACTACGAAAAACTGCGAGTTCATCTAATCGAGTGAAGTGGATGGAGAAAAGTTTCAGGAGTGATTTGTGATAAAATAGTGTCAGCAAAGGTCAAAGGAAAAGTTTACAAGACTGTGATGAGACCAGCTATGTTGTATGGTCTGTAGACAGAGACATGGACAAAAAGACAGGAGACGGAACTGGACGTGGTAGAAATGACGATGTTGAGGTTCTCCTTAGGAGAGACAAGGATGGATAAGATTAGGAATGAGATCATCAGAGGTTCAGCACAGGTCAACAACTGGGAGATAAAGTTAGAGAGGACACATTGAGATAATTTGGACATGTTCAGAGGAGGGACAGTGGTTTGGACATGTCTAGAGGAGGGACAGTGGTTTGGACATGTCTAGAGGAGGGACAGTGGTTTGGACATGTCTAGAGGAGGGACAGTGGTTTGGACATGTTCAGAGGAGGGACAGTGGTTTGGACATGTTCAGAGGAGGGACAGTGGTTTGGACATGTTCAGAGGAGGGACAGTGGTTTGGACATTTCTAGAGGAGGGACAGTGGTTTGGACATGTCTAGAGGAGGGACAGTGGTTTGGACATTTCTAGAGGAGGGACAGTGGTTTGGACATGTTCAGAGGAGGGACAGTGGTTTGGACATGTCCAGAGGAGGGACAGTGGTTTGGACATGTCTAGAGGAGGGACAGTGGTTTGGACATGTCTAGAGGAGGGACAGTGGTTTGGACATGTCTAGAGGAGGGACAGTGGTTTGGACATGTTCAGAGGAGGGACAGTGGTTTGGACATGTCTAGAGGAGGGACAGTGGGTATATTGGTAGAAGGATGTTAGACAAAGAGGACATGTATGGATGCAGTTAGAGAGGACATGGAGGTAGTTGGAGTGAGGACAGAGGACACAGAGGACAGGGATGGAGGAGGACGACTCTCTGTGGAGACCCCTGAAGAGGGAAAAGCTGAAAGAAGAAGTTCCGACGCTGCATGAAGCAGTGCTGTGCATTCCTTCAGGGAACATGAGTCTTTTAGTTGGTGTTGTATTTAAAGTTCCGGGTCATATAAAGTTCCGGGTCATATAAAGTTCCGGGTCATATAAAGTTCCGGGTCATATAAAGTTC